GATGGGACATTCTAAACTACTGTGTGCCAATGGGATCCAAAGAAAGGCATGGCTTTGTTGTAGAAAATCAGTCCTGTATCCATGAGCCCAGGGCTTCTGAAACTTTCTACTCATGACTCCTTTTCACCCTCAAATTTTTTTATGTGTCTCCAGGTATACATGATAGGTGTACAAATCAAACACCATTCTGATAGCTAACCAGAAAGAAATTTATCTTAAAACAATTCATATATATATGTATAATTTTTAAAAGATTTATTTTATGTATATGAGTGCTATGTCTTCATGAACAACTTTATGCCAGAGGAGGGCATAAAGTTCCACTATAGATGGTTGTGAGCCACCATGTGGTTGCTGGGAATTCAACTCAGGTCCTCTGGAAAAACAGTCAATGCTCTTAACCACTGAGCCATCTCTCCAGCCCTGAGGTTCATATAATATGTATATATGATAGAAGCTAATACTAACTTTCATAAGATGAGATGAGTGAGTTTGTTCATTTTTACAGAAAAAGTTAAGTCTTGCTGGGTGGTGGAGGTGCACGCCTTTAATCGGGCAGCAGAGGCAGGTGGATCTCTGTGAGTTTGAGACCAGCCTGGTCTACAAGAGCTAGTTCCAGGACAGCCTCCAAAGCCACAAAGAAACCCTGCCTTGAAAAAAAAAGTTAAATCTTGGTCAAATATTTGACACCATAGATAATAGAGTATCTTCAGTGTTTTTCAGAGTTGATTGGCATTTCAATGCTGAAAATATATTTGTATAAATATGCAATACTGATGGCAGAAGTATATTCAGGGACATTTTCCAAATTGCTAGAGGTGTTGTCTTAATCCCAAACCAAAATTCATGTAACATTTTTTAAAATGCCACTCAAGCTAGGAATTCAAACAGCAATCTTAGAAATCAAACATTCTAACCTAATACAATTCAAAGATATTCTAATTTGATACTTATACACTGAGGAGTGACTATGGAAAAATATTGTCTATTTCTTTTGTGATTATGACATGTTTCTATAAAAGCAGAAAACTTTGTATGAACAGTAAAAATCAAACAAACCTGCAATTGGTAACATACAACAGTCCTCAGTGTGAGCAAAGGTGTTTCTGGTGGCTCTTGTTCATGCTGTGTGTCGTGAGGGCTTGCACAGTTGCACAGAGCAACATGTTTGTGTTGTGTGTTTGGAACCAAGCCGTCAGTGAAGTTGCAGGCTCCAACACGGGTGAGCGCCACTAGAAATGCCTCATCCAGTAGAGGTTTGTTTTGAAGTAATTTTGATTGTCGCACAGACAGAAGCCCTGTATGGTTACTGAGGCTTTCACGACTCACACATTCAGGTATATGACCCCATATGTGGTCACAGCCTTCAGCTGAGCACCAGCCTGTTAACAGAAAGCATTTTGCCATGCTGCTGTTGAAATCATCTAACAACTTCAGTGAGCACAGCCAGCGATCCTATTAAGGATAACAGAGTCAGCCAGCCCTGAGGCCAGCCTTGCTTCCTGCTCTGGAAGACGACATAGTTACTGGTCTCTACCCTTTGAGGTGACTTTTACCATCGGCAAATGGATCTTGCACAATACCCCTCCCCCAGCATCATCCTGCCCCTGACCCCTTTTTAAGAAGATTTATCTTAATTACATGTACGCATGTATATTTGTATGTGGGGTTGTGTATGTGGGTTATGGTACCCCTGAAGAAGCCAAAAGCATCAGGTCTCCCTGGAGCTAGAGTTACAGGTAGTTGTAAGATATCCAGTGTGGGTACTGGCAATTGAACTCAGGTCCTACTCTTAAGCTTGGAGACATGTCTCCAGTCCTAAAATTCTTTAATTTTTAAAGATTTTATTTGTATATGAGTGCACACTAGTCACAATGGTGCATTAGAAGTAAGGGGACAACTTACAGGAACACAATCTGCCCTTTTGTCGTGTGGATACAGAGGCTCAGGTCATCTCATTCGGTGGCAAACACCTTTCACTGCTCCTCCAGCCTCCCTTCACCATCCTCCCCATCCCCCCTTCTTCCTTTCCCTCTTTTTCTTTTTTTAAGATTTATTTATTTAAAATGTTTACAGTGTTCTGCCTGCAGGCCAGAAGAGGGCTCCAGATCTCATTATAGATGACTGTGCCACCATGTGGTTTCTGGGAATTGAACTCAGGACCTCTAGAAGAGGAGCCAGTGCTCTTAACCACTAAAGCCATCTCTCCAGCACCCCACTCCCCATTCCCTGCTCTTGATCACATTGGGTCCTGCCATGGGGAGGCTAGCCACTTCAGGCCTTCTCTGGGTGAGCCGTGCTGCATTGATGGAGAGGGGGCAGCTAAACATGCTGCACCTTGCATGGCGAGTGCTGCCTCTCCCATGAAGGAGTCCCCAGAATCCGCAGTCCAAATGCACACCCAGACAAATTACACAAGCTACTGCCAGAAAAGCCATCGTTAATTTTTATGGCAATAAATGGTCTTGCCAGCATGTTGAGCTAATTTAATGAAAGCACTGGAAGGAAAGTCGTGGGCTAATCTGGGTTTGTTAATAATGTCAGGCTTCATTTGAATCACTCCAGAAATCCCTCCCCATTGCCTCCAGCTATCTGCCACAGGTTGCTTTTTTTCCTCAGAAATCAACAGTCTTCTCATAGACAAATATGGGCTCCCTTTTGTTTTTCTCTAGAAAATAATTAAAGTCCCAGCTCAATAAATACTTAAAGAGAATGTGATTTTAATTAAAAACCTTCTGCCCATTCTGTAGTGGCAAGGCTGCCTTCCCAGGCAGGCACACTGGTGACAGCCACATGCATCACAGTCTGCTAAGGATGTGAAACCAAAAACCTGTACAAATAACAACGGGTAGTTCTGACTGTGCAGAGGGGACAGGTGGCGAAGAAAGATGTCTAGGGGCAGAGCCAAGCTCTTCTCCCTATGGGATAAGCAAGACAGCATCAGGGGTTCATGATGCCGCATGTTCATCATATCTAGACCTGAGTCTTCAAGACAACAATAGTGCCTGATTCTACCCAGCTATGGGTGAGAAAAAATATACCAAGCACAAAGTGCCACAGACCAAGTACTTGGCAGTGTCTCTCTCATCCATGTTCCTTCTTTTTCGTTTATTTTTGTTTTGTGATTAAGGATGAGTACCTGCATGCATATGCCTGTACACCACAGCAGTGTCTGGTGCCTGGGGAGGTCAGAAAGGGTGTTGAACCCACTGGAACTAGAGTTACAGATAGTTGTGAGTTGTCATATGGATGCTGGGAGTCCAACCCAGGTCCTTCGCAAGAATGGTCAGTGCTCTTAACCACTGAACCATCTCTCCAGCCCCTGTCTGTCCTTTATATCTTAGAGACACAGAGAGATTAAGCCAGGATCCCATAGCTGGTGTATGATGGAGTCTGGTGCTGGGAAGAAAAGTGATGGTATAGAAACAAATGGCCTGGCTTCCCCAGGAGTGACCTTTCTGGTGGAAATTAGGAAGGAAAACAGAAATGCTTGCTGGAATCTCTCTCTCTCTCTCTCTCTCTCTCTCTCTCTCTCTCTCTCTCTCTCTCTGTGTGTGTGTGTGTGTGTGTATGTGAGAGAGAGAGAGAGAGAGAGAGAGAGAGAGAGAACGAGAACTTGTTAACTTGCAGACATTGTAAAATGTGAGGCAATGTGTTCCAGAGCGTCTGGCTGGAGGGCAGCTGTGGGAAGGTCTCTGGAGCAGGCTGGTATGCCAGGGATGCTTGAATGTTTGATGCCCTGGCTTTCTTGTCCTTGGAAGCTCTTCCCACATACCTTGGCAAGTCCATTAGATCACCCACGAGCCACATTAAAACGTGGTGCACAACTGAGCAGTTGCTGCAGAATCGTGTGCACATTACCTGTCCTAAACGTTTAATCAAACATCTATTACTTAAGTTTTCTTCTCCCATTTCCGTCCCCACTTAAGGCCAACAAGTTTCCTCTGTCAGCTCAGAAACATTTTAGAGGCCTCTTGCAAAGTAATGAGAGGCAGGGACAGGACTGCAAGAGAAGTATGCTGGAAGCTTTCTTCCTAATGCAACTACACTCACCGATTGACTCGCACTAGGAGAATGATGAACTGGATTCTGGGCACTGGGAACCTAGTGCGCCACGAACTGGCCAAATCAGTGTTAAAGTAAGGAGGTCCGGTTGTGTTTCCATGGGGCGCAGGCTGGGGGCACTGAGAGAAAACTTCAGGGTTTTGGCTAAGTGCGCCCCCACTACTGCATTGCCCAACAGCACCACAAAGCCCTAGGCAGAGGTTCCTTGGTGCCCAGGCCTGCACCAACCCTTCAAATGCCACTGCTCTGCCTCTGCTTCCTGCAAGCAATGTCCAGCAGGGGGCGCGCAGGGACCAGGGTTGGGCACCCGATTACTGCGGACCTAGCGCTGGGAGCAAGTCAGTGGAGCCTTCGGTTCAGCGCTCCCACCATCCGAACCATATGGGCATTCAGAGTTGAAGTAAATGGTCAATCCATAAAGCAGTCCAGGTCCTTCAGTCTCAGCCTCGGTGTCTATCTAGGGTCCGGACTGCAGCTTGATAAAAAAGCTTTAGCCTGAACTGGGCAGATTCGGAATCTGGAGGCCTCTACTTTCCAGCTTGGCAACTTTGTGTCACTCCTTTCTTTCACTGCTACCGCAATCACCTGATTAAATGCCTGTTCCTTTACAGATCAAAGACGTAGGCAGGGGTGGGAGGTGGGAGGTGGGAGTTGTTTCTAGGCCCTGCTCTCCTTCTCGAGGCCACTGTATCATTATTAACATTATAAGCAACAGACTGCAATTCTGGGCGGCGCCAGGGCTCTGCGCGCGCTGTCTTCTAGCCGAGCTCAGTGGTTAAATCAGGAATTACAACTCCCACCCCAGACCCTACCGACGCTGCTAGAGGCGACTCCGGCTCCAGTCCTGTCGGGACCAGCACTAGGTTCTTCAGGGTTGAAGACTTGGGTAAGGGGTGTCTTCTCCCCGGTGCAAAATTGGGCAACAGAAGCACTTTTGTGGGAGAGTGGGTGGAAAGCCGGAGGGGTCCACGGGATCAGCATCGGAGCCAGCGTGAATGCCACGCCCTTAAGCTATACTGGGGGTGCTGGAACCGCCTTCTCCACAGCAAGTCCCCTGGTTTTCGAGCCTCTTCGGGAAAGCAAGCCAGAATTCCTAGAGCTTACACGGACTTTGGCTGCGCACATCCGCACATCCTTGCAATCCAAGAAGTCCTGAGGGAGAGCTCATGAGCCCCTTCTTTTCAAGCTCTCAGCCCCTTGTTTCTTCCAAGTTATTCCCCGGTCAGCTTGCGTCCCCTCCAAACTCAAAAAGAGCTGAATAGAAATGAAATCGAATGAGTGGATATCCACTAGCCTAGGAGCGTCCAAGCCTTGCGTTTTCCTCTCCCCAGACCAGGAAAGCCCCCAGGACTCGCCATCACAGAGCACAGTCTTAGTCCCTCCGCTGCCACACGGCGGTACAAGGTGCAAGGCACCCCCCACCCTCAAGGTTGCTAGAACGTGAACCATACAAAAGGACATCCCCTTGCTTTGCAGACAAAGAAGTCATGGCCAGGCCGGCTGTTCCAAACCTCTGGGACCTTGGGTCAGGTTAGAGCCTTGCTCTGGACCGTCTCACGTGCAGAGTCCTGGACAAGGAGGAGTTCTCATCTCTCTCAGACCTCTCAAAGACATCTTCCCTGGACTGCCTAATCACCCTCTTCCGGGATCGTCTGTGGGGTCTCCAGGGCTGAGCAGGTGTGATGAAGTTCCAGATTCGGAACTTGGCTGAGATTGTGCTAGTCCCAGCAGCCGGCAGCCAGGAGTAGGAAAGAGGGAGCGACCAAAGTGTGCACATACCAGTATGTTCATATTTAATTTACAAAGGAGCCTCAGAAACGCAGCCGGGTGGTCCCTTTCGATGCAGCTCCCTCCACCACCCCTCCTAGTTCATTAAAATGCTTAGCACTCAAATCGGGGTATTGATCTCCACAGAGGCCCCAAACACACTGCCATCGACCCAAGGCGGAAGAAGCTGACTCTTGTGAGGGCTGGGGGGGGGACTAAAAGCACCCCAGGATTACAGTGTTTACAAATAGCAGGAGGTGGGGATTCTACATGTCTCTCAAAAACCTATTCCCCCTTACCAGTTTTGACTAACAGCTCTGTCTCCTGGGATGCCATAGGCGGTAGAATGAGATGGTGAATTTTAGCCAAATGCCTAGACACCCTTCAAATCCTCCTGCTTGTCGCTAAAAGAAATGCCCAGGGTTTGCCAAAGAGAACACTGAGTCCGAGAGTCTGCTGAAGCCAGCTGTTACATGAGGGCGTGAGATGGCAGGGCGGTGGGTGCTGCCTAGGCTTTAATAGAAGTGTGTGTGTGTGTGTGTGTGTGTGTGTGTGTGTGTGTGTGTGTACTCAAGAAGAGCAGACCTTTTAGTAATCATCCTGGTCCCTGTCGCCACTGTCAGTGACAATCTCAGCGCCCCGTTAGCCTGCAGCAAGCAAGGGCAGAGTGTGACACTTGGGTGAGTTCAACCTAGTGTTCTAGGGAGATCAGACGATACCTACCCCCATGGTGAGCACCTGCTAGCAGTGATTTTGTCACAAAAGACCTGGCAGTGGAGTTCCGGTTAAAGAGGCTGAGCAGGGTCTGCGATGGGCTTGGGAGGTAGGAGTCTGTCCCCTGCGCGCTCTGCAGGGTTGTGCCTTCTCACCTAGCGAGGTCGTCTGGCGTCTGGCGGAGATTGGGGGTGGAGGGGAACCAGGGTTTGTATCTGCCCAGATCCAGGCAAAAATAACAGGGAGGGTGAGGCGCTCTGCTAACACTATCAATTATGCATCGTGTTGAACGTGGCTTCGGGGAGGGGGGGGGCGCTAGCAGCCGACTGGAGGAAAAAGGTCGGAGCGAGCCAGGCAGCGCAGTTCACTGGTCCCGCTGGAGGTCTTTCTGTGCCACTGCTTGTTTTGGGGAGAAAAAAAAGTGTTTAAAGGCAAAGGCACGCCCCTCCAGTCCTATGCCTTTCTTTCTTCCAAATTCCTCAAAGATGGTTTGTCTCACGTGTTGCGGGGCGTAGAAGGACTCGCATTCAATTAGCAGCGCAGCTCCCCAGCGCTGGCGGGACGGGCGCGTGAGGGTGAGTGAGCACGGATATTTGTGTGCGCGCAAAAAGGAGGGTGAGTGTTCGAGTGAAGGTGTGTTTGTGAAAATATAGGTGAAGATAGGGAGAACTCAGCGCATTGACGCTATTATCACATGTTGATGGGTAATAGGAACCTGTGAAGGTCGAGTGGAGGGGCTGTGTGTGTGAGTGTGTTAGGGAGGGGATTGGAGGCATAACGAGAAACAGTGGCAATGTCATCAAGTGAGTAAATATTGGGGGAAATAGGTTCTAGTGGTGCGGTGGGCTAGGAAGGGCTGAGCCTGGGGCTATGCACATATGGAGTCCCTTGAGCTCAGCCGGACTCAGCTTGGGATGGGTGGGGATCTCTATGGCTTTAACAAATGTGAACGCGGCACGAGGTGGGAGACTGTGCGCGTTCCCTCCGAGCCCGGGGGCGCGCAATGACTCTCCAACCTGCAAGCATAGAGAAGTGGGGCGAACAGATAAGAAAGGAAAAATTGAAGTAGAACTTCAGGGCCAGGGGAGTTCTTATACGTGCCTGCCTCTTTCTCCCCACTGCCACAGCAACAGATGCCAGAAGGTCCCTCCGACTGTCATCTGAGTCTGGAGAGGGGCTCTCAGCCGGAAGGCAGCACAGCGCAAGTCTGAGAGCAGCAGGTAAGCGACCCCACAACCTCATGCCACAAGGTAGGTCTAACCTAGAGCACTCACCAGGTTTGGGTGACTGTCTGGAAGGAACAGGGAAGAGGGGTGCCTACCTTAGGAGCAAAGGCAAGGCTGGGACCTGTTAATCTCAAAGACAGGGCATATGAGGGGTTCTTTCTCCCAAGGCTAACAGGAATCTCAAGTTGGGGTAGGGGGGGTCTGTGTAAGAGTATTTGTGTGACTAGTGATAGGAGGTGCACTCAGGCATCTTGGGGTTGTGGAGAAAGATATAGAACCTTGAACTGTCTCCAAATGTATTAGCTAGAGGCTTGTCTCCCTAAAAGCCTGTGAGCAGAGGAGTCTACCTGGGCTCTGTGGAGTACAAAGAGGAATCTTTAGTGACTGTCCCCACAACATACTCTGTCTAGGCATGGGGGAGGATTTCTTTCCCAGATGGAAGAATAATTAAGCAGCGTGGCTCTCCCTGAGGGGAGCTGCAGCCCAGGGCAGGCAGACTAGAAGACATAAGTGGGTGGAGGCTGCCCCAGAGCCACACCGCACTCCACAAGTTCTCCATGTTGCTCATTGGCTTGGGTTGTGGTCTCCGAGGCGGGCAGTGTAGCACCGATGTCCCTGTGTGTGGGCTGGTTCGTGTGAGGACTTGTGTCCTTGTATCTGTCAGTTCTCACCGGGAGCAAGTGCTTTGCTTCCTGCTGGAGAACACTAGCAAATGCTGCATTGAGTTGAGAGAACAATGAGGTCTCCACGGCACATTGTGTAGATGTCTGGGTGCCCGTGTTTTTGTGTCTATGTAATTCATTGTGATAGAGTTTCCGGGCCTTGTAGTTGGCTGCTTCGGGGAGATGCCTAAGCTTCTCTTTGCACCGTTGCCTGTAAGGAAATGTGTGCGAGTGCTGTGCTCGGGACAAAGGATCCTAGAGAAGACATCAGTCATGAACGAAAATCTTTCTGCATCTCCATTTCATCGGGTTAAAGGAAGATATAGAAAGAAGGGTCAGTGTGGGGCTCACTACATGCAGACCATAGACATCAGGGACAGCACCAGCTGAGGGACTAGATTGGGGTGGGGGGAGTTTGCTCCATGCCCTCTGGAGAAGCAAGACAGAGTCCTGAAAGCAAGCATTTATTAAATCTGTAGGCTTTTACTGGACTCCATTTGTACCTAAGGTTTCTGGAGTCTATACAGGTTTAGGAGGTAGAGTTTGTTAGGGGAGGGAAGAAAGCTGTGGCGTAAGTGACCCCTCTTCACCCCGACTTTCCTTTGCAGGACTCCTGATGGGGCCCTTCAGAGCCCTGTGTTTGGCCTGGGCTTTGCTAGGAGTGACCAGAGCGTGTCCTGAGCCTTGCGCCTGTATAGACAAGTACGCCCACCAGTTCGCAGACTGTGCCTACAAGGAGCTGCGCGAGGTCCCGGAAGGGCTGCCAGCCAATGTGACCACGCTTAGTCTGTCCGCCAACAAGATCACGGTGCTAAGACGGGGGGCCTTCGTCAACGTCACGCAGGTCACTTCGCTGTGGCTGGCTCACAGTGAGGTGCGCACCGTAGAGTCAGGGGCATTGGCAGTGCTGAGTCAGCTCAAGAACCTCGACCTAAGCCACAACCTCATATCCAACTTCCCTTGGAGCGACCTTCGTAACTTGAGCGCGCTGCAGCTGCTGAAAATGAACCACAACCGCCTGGGATCGCTGCCCCGGGATGCACTCGGCGCGCTGCCTGACCTGCGCTCTTTGCGCATCAACAACAACCGGCTGCGTACCCTGGAGCCCGGCACATTCGACGCACTGAGTGCGCTGTCTCACCTGCAACTCTATCACAATCCCTTCCACTGCAGCTGTGGTCTTTTGTGGCTGCAGGCCTGGGCGGCGAGCACGCGGGTGTCCTTACCCGAGCCTGATTCCATTGCGTGCGCCTCGCCTCCTGAGCTGCAGGGCGTGCCAGTACACCGGCTGCCCGCCCTGCCTTGCGCACCGCCCAGCGTGCGTCTGAGTGCAGAGCCGCCGCCGGAGGCGCCTGGCACCCCTCTGCGAGCAGGCTTGGCTTTCATGTTACACTGCCTCGCCGAAGGCCACCCCTCGCCCCGCCTGCAATGGCAACTTCAGATCCCGGGTGGCACTGTAGTCTTAGAGCCACCCGTTCTCAGCAAGGAAGAAGATGGAGGAGATAAGGCAGAGGACGGGGAAAGTGATGGAGATGAGGACCTGCCTACACAGACTGAGACACCAACCCCGACTCCAGCACCTGCTTGGCCAGCGCCTCCAGCCACTCCGCGCTTTTTGGCCCTCGCAAATGGCTCTTTGTTGGTGCCTCACCTGAGTGCCAAGGAAGCAGGCATCTACACATGCCGCGCACACAATGAGCTGGGTACCAACTCAACGTCGGTACGGGTGACTGTGGCTGCGGCAGGGCCGCCAAAACACGCTCCTGGAACAGCGGGAGAACCTGATGCGCAGGCCCCGACCTCTGAGCGCAAGACCACTCTTAAGGGCCGTAGCAACAGTGTCCTGCCCTACAAGCCTGAGGGCAAAACCAAGGGTCAAGGTCTGCCCCGGGTCAGCGTCCTCGGGGAAATCGAGGCGGAGCTGGAGGAGACAGATGAAGGAGAGCAGGTGGAAGGTCAGATCCCTACAGATTCGGTGGGGGAGAAGCACTGTGGCCATGGGGACCCCTCTCGATATGTGTCTAACCATGCATTCAACCAGAGCTCAGAGCTCAAGTCGCACGTTTTTGAGTTGGGTGTCATCGCGCTGGATGTAGCAGAGCGTGAAGCTCGGGTGCAGCTGACGCCTCTTGCTGCGCGCTGGAGCCCCGGGCCAGATGGTGCTACCGGAGCGCGGCGGCCTGGAAGGCGGCCCTTGCGCCTGCTCTATCTGTGCCCTGCGGGTGGTGGCGCGGCAGTTCAGTGGTCACGCGTGGAGGAGGGGGTCAATGCCTATTGGTTTCGCGGCCTGCGACCTGGCACCAACTACTCCGTGTGCCTGGCACTGGCGGGCGAAGAGTGCCACGTGCAAGTGGTGTTTTCCACCAAAAAAGAACTGCCATCCCTGCTGGTTATCGTGACAGTAAGCGTGTTTCTCCTGGTGCTGGCCACCGTACCCCTGCTGGGCGCCGCCTGCTGCCATCTACTGGCCAAACACCCGGGCAAACCCTATCGTTTAATCCTGCGACCTCAGGCCCCCGACCCAATGGAGAAACGCATCGCCGCCGACTTCGACCCGCGTGCCTCCTACCTTGAGTCTGAGAAAAGCTACCCTGCCCGCGGCGAGGCAGGAGGTGAGGAGCTTGAGGAGGCCCCGGAGGAGGGCCTTGATGAAGATGTGGAGCAAGGGGACCCAAGCGGAGACCTGCAGAGAGAGGAAAGCCTCGCGGGTTGCTCGTTGGTGGAGTCTCAGTCCAAGACCAACCAAGAGGAGTTCGAGGCTGGCTCTGAGTACAGCGACCGGCTTCCTCTGGGAGCAGAGGCGGTCAACATCGCCCAGGAAATAAATGGCAACTACAGGCAGACTGCGGGCTGAGCCCCCAGCACGCCTGGCCTGCCCACCTCTACCTTGGGCACCCAGTAGCCTAGGGAAGGCAGGACTTTCTCACCCTCATGGGACCCCATCCCACCCCCAAGCCTTCTGTTACTCTCCCTCCTTAGCCCTCTCCAGGCGTCACTATTAGGGATTTCTAGGAGTGGGCCGAATTCAGTGGTTCCCAGCCAGTCTCCGTCATTCTCTTGGCGGGCTTGAATCCCCACCCCCAACCCAAAGCACAGAGACAGGCGCCTACCTCCTCTAAGACACTACCCACGGACAGCGAGAAACCATCTATGCCTTCCTTTCCACCGCGGTGATCAGAGAAACCCACCGCACAACCCACACGGTGGGGAAGACAGGGAATCTGGAGGCAAGGGGATCGCGCCAGTAGCTGGCCACATCCAGTGATAATAATGGGGTTGGTTCCGGGGTTTGCCCCGGCCCCCAAGACAGGTCCCCAAGGTGGAGCGCTGTGGCTCTCACCTTGACCCCACTCCGCCTTTTCAAGGTTGCATGTGCCAGAAGCCGGCTAATTTTTAGTCTCAAAGTCCCTTCCCTACAATGATCCAAATCCCTGCCTCTCTCCATGCCTTCCCACCCCGCCCCATTTCTGTCCAGTTGGAGCCAAGCTGAGGTCCTGGGACGCTTTTCAACTCGGCGCACTGATTTTCTTATTTTCGTTGTTTTCAAAGACAGCGACATTTCCTGGTCTGGTGCTAACACAACCTTCCCAACGAATGGGAAGCTGGTTGTGAGTGTGTCAGGTGTGAGAGTCGGAATCCGCTTTCTTCTGTCTCTCTCCTAATTTTACGCGCTGCGGGACTGCGCACCTCTTTTCCTCGCAGGGTGCGGGCTTGGTCCCCGGCCAGTTTCGTTGTCAATGTCTTGCAGGTGCCAGAGACTGGTGTGGCCACAGTGGCTCTTGCAACTCCATGGGGTGCAGACCCCAGCAGAAACGTGCTGGGGGCGCAGGGAGTTGTGTCTTCCGAGGGAGTCTGACAGGGGCCAGAGCACTGCAGCAGCGGATGGGGGTGGGGGTGGGGGGAGGAGACCCCGGTCCCCTCCTCCCAGGAAAAGAGTGCCCAGCGTGTCGTCCCCGCCTAGCATGGGCTGTAGAAGTCTGTGTCCTGTAAAGCGGGTAGTGTAGGGGGGCGGGAGGGCAGGCGGGAGGGTGGGCGAGGAAGGTGGGAGGAAGAGGGCAGGAGTGGCGTGGGGACTCGGATCAGTTTTTAGTTCTTCTAGGCAAAAGCGTGGGGGGAGGGTGGTCGGGCGTCTGGACCTGCGCTCTGGCTCTGGACGAAGTGCAGCACAAGCGTGGGTGGCCCCGGGAGGAGTTGACCCCGGAGCCCACGTCCTTTTCTAAATACGTCTGTGTGTAAACTGTCAATAAAGTAATCATTTGAACAGGACTGGGTGACTTTTTTTGTGTCAGGGGAGGGGGAGGTCGGGGTCCAATGGGAAGCTAGGTGACAACAAAGGAAGGAGGCTGGGGATTGAAGAAGGAAACCACAGACAGAAGCCCTTTGGGTTTCCTTTTGTGGGTGCCCGATGGTCAAGTGATTTTGCCAGGTGTTTGCTCCTGGCCCCTGCTCTGGGGGCTTCCAACTTCTGGATGGAAAAGTGAAACCACATGGCATGGGAGGAGGCTGTCAGAGAACCGGGAGGTCTGTCGTGGAGTTTAGGGCTGGTGTCTGAGTGTATGCGCACTTGCACTGGAGTAAACATGCTGTTCTGTTCTCTTTGGGTTGAGACTGTCCGTGTACTGGGATCTTTCTGTCTCAGACTCTCTGCATTTCTGTCTGTCTGTCTGTCTGTCTGTCTGTCTGTCTGTCTGTCTGTCTCTCTCTCTCTGTGTATGTGTGGTGTGTGTGTGTGTGTGTGTGTGTGTGTGTGTGTGTGTGTGTGTGTGTGTGTGTGCTTTTTGTTTCTAAGTACCAGCCTTTGAGTTTTCTGGGAAGATGGGGGATGGGCAAGGAAAAGATTGGGGTGAGGAATTCATAGAGATAGGACTGCTGTGGTTTGTAGAGAGGAGTCATACCACACATTTCAGAGCAGGCAGATGATCGCAGAAAAGGCGGAAAGGCTCAGCCAGTGATAATGATGCTGCTAGGGGTTGCTGAGGTGCGCTGCAGAATCAGGTCTGAAACCTCACCAACTTCATTGTTCTGCGAATGGAGACAAGGAGCAATCAAGACTGGATGCCGTGGTCCTGCTCAGCCATAGTGTGGGGTTTGGGCTTCCTGCGGATTCAGCTGTGCCTGGAGAGGGCAGGATGTGGCTAGGAAGGGAGATGGAGGAGGAGAGAAGAGACATGAGAGGAGTAAGTAAAACTTCCATCCTTCCTAATCCTGCTTGCTTCCATAGGTACCAATCGTCTGCTTGGATCACTGTAGGATACAGAACAGGCCCAGGGCAGACACCCAGCATTCCATTCTAGCCTCATGCTCCACTCTAACTTCCTACTGAAGCCCCGCCCTGGAACCCACTCAATGCTGGAATGCCATCTTCCAGGAAGACTAGTCCCATGTCTGAGTAAGGACAATGACTGGCCTAATTCCTATTGCACCTGGATACAGATGTGACTGGGCCAGTGACTGCGTAATGACTTTGGTCCCTTCATGTCCCCTGGTCATGGTTCTGCAGTGAGAAAAAGGCTACTCCTTATCCCAATGATTGGGTATTCTCTTAAGACCCCCAGAAAGCCTGAGTGCTCAGTGGAGAAACAACCGGGGAACTCAGAGTTTAACCCTTTGTCTGAGGCCAAGCTTCCAATGAGATGAACAGGCACTACTCAGCTAGACGTGGTGCTCCCTAGACAAAAGGCCTGCAGGCTCTGCCCATGGAACCAGATAAGTAGGTACAGAGGCCAGGGGACAGGATGCTGGGGCTTTCTGCTGGCTCTGTTTTCTGTTCAAATGCTTGCACATTCGCAGAGCAGTCCATAGTTTCTGCCCCCCTAAAAATCCATGTCAGGTTTGTTCTGTCATTCGCATCCCCTCCTTCCCCTGGCTCTCTCACAGATTGTTCTAATTCAGTTACCCACTCGAGGTTGACTTCGTGGATCCACCTGTCCTTATCCAGAGCTGAGGATGCGCTGCTTACCCACCATCACCACCCAGGAGTCAATTTTTGAGCAGCTTGTAAAGGGTTTTTCTCTGCTGCCACCCATGTGACTTGACTTTGCCATTGACTTCGCCCCTGTGACGCCCTGTGGGGGTGGTGAAGATGTAGTCCTCACCTCTATCCCCCACTCCAGAGCTCCACAGCACCTCATGCAACCCACACTCTTTGAGCACCTCTGCATGCTTGGGGTACTGTGGTAGCTTTGGTTTCCCCAGGGGGTGTGGTTATAAAATGTATAAGGATATCACATAAGGATGGAGTCTGATGCGTTGAAAGGCTGTGTGTGTGTGTGTGTGTGTGTGTGTGTGTGTATGTTTGTGTGTGTGAACCTGGAAAATGGTCAGAAAATGCAATATGACAGCAGTGGCCTCAGAACTCAGAACATTATGTCAGGAGCAGTAATTCTTTGCACTATAGAAACCAGATGCCCAGGATGTGGCCTTGGATTCAATCAGAAACCTGTCTACAGAAGATTATTTGAAAGGAGGGCCCCACAAGTGTTTCCTGAGGATCAGCTAGAATGAGAGCCACCCCGAGGACCATTAATATGAAGGAACAAAGGAAGGCCCGGCATCTCTAAATACATAGGGAGCTGGCGTGGGGACCTCTGCTCCCAGATCGGGTCCAGGATGCAGCAATCCATCTGCGGCAGAGAGAAACTGAATTAATGTCTTCACAAGCAGGGGAGACCAAAAACACGGAGGTTGTTACTTCCTGACAGTGATGAGAAATTTAATTGCCCTTTTTAGTTCTCACTCAGAGCCGGGCTTTTTTTGATAGTTAAAGCGCATGTGTCGGGGGGGGGGGAACTTGCTGTGCTCTCACTTCAGGTTTCTTAACAGGAGAGCCCAGATAAGGCACCCTTCAGAGGAAAAGGACAGGCATGGCTTGCAGTCACGGGGAGGCGGGTGTCATGCCAGCATGAGCAGCACTCAGCAGGGAAACTGGGAGGTCCTGTCTCAGAAACTAAGTGCATGTTGGGGGACAGTTGTACCCAGGTGTCAGGACATAACAAAGGCTCCGTGTAGGGACAAGAAATTGCCACATTTGACCTAATGGATGCCTTTCTCTTATATATCTGCAACATAAAGATATTGACAAACCAGGCTGGAAAGTCGGTTTGGAGGAAACAGGGCCATTCCATTTGTAACGCATCAATTAATTGACTGGGTTTGAAACACACCCACCGACACCTGTGCACTAGCGACACGATTTTTCCTTAGGGCTCAATAGGGAATAGTGTTACACTAGAAATGAAAAGCTCTGCTGTGCCTGGCCTGGAGAACAGATTGCATTACGAAATGTCCTGCAGTATTAACATTTAGCTCAAAATATGGCCAGCATTCTTAAGAAGACTTGACATTTTTAAAAGCCATCCCAAAACCCCATGTTACGTAGAGAAGAAATGGAATGAATTGAGTTAAGTCAGTCCTGAAGGTTTTGCGTCACCCATTGGGGAAATTGTAAGCAGTTTGAAGATGAGATACTTTCCAAACTGTGCTTAGTGGGTGTTATTTGTTTGGACATGTGAATGTAAGATTAATAACCAAAGTTCAAGCCATATGGAGCAAGGAGGATAGAAATGCTTATATTTTTTATCAACTGTTTATGGCTTGAATTTACTCCCTTGTGTATGGAGTAATTTGCTTTTGGCAAACTAGATGGCGTTTTTCTCTTAGTGGCCCTCTATTAAGTTGGCCCTCAAATTGAGTCTAGAAGCCTTTCAAAATACACAACCATTTGAGAGAAAAACAGCCAGGGTCACAGAAATGAGAGAACTGATAAGTGTTGAAATGGAGAAGGATAAGGATGGAGAATTAATTACCAGATGTATTTTAATTACAGTGATTGGCTAAGTGTTTATACTGGATATTCCAGCAATCACTATCTACTATTAACGCAAATAATAATACCATTAGTAGCCAAAACTGGTTGAATGTTTACCATATTCCCATATTCTAGGCTTATATTCTGCTCTATAATAACTGTTTTGTTAATCCTAATGGCAGTCTTGTGAGTGACATTATTGTTATTATTCCAGGCATGCAAAGAAACTAGTGAACAGAGAGGGTTAGTAATTTGTTGAAGGTCACACAGCTGGTGATTTTCAGAATTGAGGTTTGCCTGGTCCTCTGATCCATCAAGCTGAACCCCTCCTTTTTCTTCTACTAATTGGATTTTACAAAAGATACTATGCTCTATATGTTGTTAAATTTAGTGATAATTATGGAGTTAGCCTAGAGAAAAAGTTTATCTTCCTGTCTTTTACTTCTCAAAATAGCATTCTATCCCTGACAAAGAAAACAATGCCCAATGCTCACTTAAGTCCAAGGCAGGAGGATTATGATTTTGAGGCCATCCTGGGATACATATTAAATTTTAGGTTATTCTGAGTGACATAGCAAGACCATGTCTACACAAAACAAAACAAACAAACAAACAAAAATTTAAAATATAATTCCTGCTTAGGCTATTGTCACTGCTCCTGATTTCCCACTACAACTTGATGGTAGGACCCTATTGCTGAAGACAGGGCTAGCTTTGGTTATGGCACAGAGGGAAACAAAGTTGGAATTTATATGGAAATTTCTTCCCTATTGACTGCCATGATTCCAAAAGGTGATATTCCAGGCCTACGGGGGAGAAAAGCCACCAGTGGACTCACTCAGTAGTGGACTCTGAATGCAGTAGTAACATGACCATTATGGGTAACCAGCTATTTTCTGATTATTTGAGTCCTGCTCCAAAGAAGGGATTTTGTGCCTGATACCCCAAACCAGGTTCAACTCCCATGGTTAAGGAGGTCACAGACCTTTGAGTGGGGACCTACTATTGTTATTTTGCTAAACAGACACATTGTCAAACTGCCCCCTAATATCTATGTTTGAACCCATAGATTAGTGCTGCTCTCAACCTTGATAAGAGAAACTGAAGTAACCAGTGGTCAATACAGACTCGTAACTGGTCAAAGTGTAGAGGAAAAGGTGAGTGGGCAGCCCTAAATGAGACATCTGTTTCAAACCCCAGGGCTCAGGGCACATTC